TGTGTGTTTGTGTGTGTGCACTGAAGATTTATTTAGTCCTGAGACAGTGTAAGCATATACAGTATGGTTGTGTGTTTCACGTCAGTGTGTTTCATGTGTGTGTGTGCGGACTGACAAAACTACTTCGACTTTGGAAGCTCCAAGCGGCCCGCGGATCGGACCCAACCGCTCTGGGGAACATTGTAACAAAGAGGAAAGAAAAAGCAACTAAGTGAATGATTTGACTGCCACACACCACATACTAAAACCTTAACTCAACATATCACTGCCTCTAACAGCCCCTCCGGCTGGTCACAGCAGGAAAAAGCACACTGAAGATGTTCTGAAAATGAAACAAGCAAAAACTTTTTTTTTTTCTAAATCTACATTTTAGGGAGCAAACGTCTGTGCTGGTCTGGTTTGACCTAGAAAGGACACCACACACACTCAGAAGTGGAAAAAAAGGCAAAGCACAGCCAGCGAGCAAAGAAATGTGAACTCACTTCCTCCCGCTGTACGTAAACATGACTTTGACTTCCTTCTTATTTCCTCAATTCATCCATATCCTTCATAAATTCACAAAGGTGCAAAACGCCAGTCTTTGTCACTCTAGAAGCATGCTTCATATACAGTCGACACGCTGTACTGTATATATGACTCACTTACAGAACATAATGAGTTCAATGGTCTCCGTCCTCACTCCGGCATGTTGTTGTTGACATAAAGCTACGTGACAGCACAGGTCAAGTCAAAGTGCACAAGATCAAAAGAAAGAAAAGCGCAAAATGGAAAAAAAGTCAGGAAATGTGTGCCCTGTTGTTGTAGATGTAAAACCCATGTCCTTTACCCCACATCCTCATCCCGTCCCACCCACCGACCAAAACTCTGATGCTGATGCTGCCCACCCCTGCTGGTGGGGCCCTCAGGGGCCGACCTGTCACACGGTGAGAGAGATGAAGCTGTTGTATCTCTGGATGTTTCTCTTGAGGATCTCTGAGCACGGCCCCAGCACACGCTCGAAGCGGGGCCTATCCAGCTTCACACACTTTAGGGGACCGCGGGCGACTACGGTGGCTGCCCTGGGACGGTTCAACAGGAGGGCAATTTCACCTGGAGGATGAAGAGGAGAGAGAGAAGACGTTGAGCCACGGAATGTGTTACAAATCTGCATACAAGCCATTTTCCTATTATTTAATGTGTAATAAATCAAAGTGACATCTTGTGAACAGCATCTTTGATTAATGTCTGCTTCCTGTTTTTATTGTCTGCATCTAGAGGACTAAACTAAAAGACTAAATCACTGATGACACTGATATTGTGCTTTATTCCACATGCTTTTACTCATATTTTGATTTATTAACAGAAATAGCAAAAACTGGAAAAACAATATAAACAATTTCTGTAATGATTGACAATTAATTAGGAAGATAACATAGAACAAAAGCAGCTTAAAAAAGCATCAGGTAGGACGCACAGGCGCATCTGTGTGTTTGTGTGTGTGCACTGAAGATTTATTTAGTCCTGAGACAGTGTAAGCATATACAGTATGGTTGTGTGTTTCACGTCAGTGTGTTTCATNCAGAAATAGCAAAAACTGGAAAAACAATATAAACAATTTCTGTAATGATTGACAATTAATCAAGAATATAATCAGCAAGATATTTGATTATCATTTGTTTCAGACTAAATTGTTTTTTTGTTGGATCAGAGGAAGTTGGTTAATTCTACTGTCCAGTAAATTCAAACTGTTTAAGTGACCAAAACCTCTGGATAAATTAACGTAGCATAACATGCTACACCTCAGTCAATTTAGTTTTGACTCAGCTGTGCGACATGCCAGAGTGGTTACGTTTTATGAAAACCATCAATAGATTTTGATTGCGAACATGAGAGCCGGTCACTCAACTCACCAAAATAGTCTGAGGGTCCGAGGCGTCCAACTTCCACGTACTCCTCGTTGTCTGACCGACGCTGCAGAACAGAGGCTATTCCCTGCAGACAGACAAGAAAAGGAGAGTCCGGACACACAGAGGACAAAGACAAGAGAAAAGAAAGAACAAGATGAGAAGGAGGAAGTAAGAGGGAGGACGGGTGTTGCTGGGAAAGATGGAAGAAAAAAGGGTGGGGTAGAGGGGGGGTTGTGGTTTTTTAGAAAGGGGTTGAAACTCATCAGGAGGATTAAGCTGTGGACAAATTCCTCAGCTTCATAAGAACACAGGTGCACAGGATTTAGCCCACTTCTGTGGGACGGACACCTGCTCTGTGGGACGCCTACGAGCAGGAACTCAAAACGACTCACTCAGATATTCCAAAAGGGAAAATTGAGATCGGTTCTGCTAGATTTCCTGCAGAGTGTAATAAATACAAACATCTAAGCCTTTTAGAGCCTGAACTCCTCAGTTTCTCCATCGCATAATCCCCTTTATCATCATTCACCCGCAAAATGGGAACAACTGATTTGTTCAAGACTGAGGGAGCTCCAATATAGTGTCCCAAAGTCACCCCCAAAACACTGATGAAAACAATGATACACAGCGGGACAATAGCAGGTGCCGTGCTAACTCACATGGAATATTGTGGGTTTACACACACACACACACACACACATACACACACACACACACACACACACACACACACACACACACACAGAGCTGGGCAATGGTAACAAGGGACCCGCAGACCCAGATGGATATAGAATGAAATGCAAACATGCAAATGCAGTGAGAAAATGAACAGCTGATGTCTGCTGGACGGATCCTATGACCAACTACGCTACGGATATTAGCATCACCCACTGTGTTTGGTGTGTGTGCGTGTGTTTGTGTGTGTGAGAGAGTGACTCATCTAAAAAGTATAAGGGAGGAAATTAGATTTCCGTTCACTCTGCCCAACAGATGATAACAGTTCATGTTGTCATATCTCTGCAGCTGTTGAGTGTGAATGAGCACACGTTTGAAAAAGTCTTTACATTCAGCTACGACAAAGTTTTCAGAGTTGTACTGAGTTCTCTCTACAGTATGCCTGAGCTAACATGTGGTACAGATGTCTAGACTTTTACATGTGCTGAAGTTCAGCTGTAATTGGTAGCAGGTAAAAAGTCAGCAGGGGAACTTCTCAGCTTGTCTTGGACCATCCCCCTAAAACAGATCTGACCGCTCCAATGCTCTCTCTCACTGTCAGTAATTCTTCTCTGCTCTCGCTGCTCCTTGTGCTGACCAGGCTAATAATGCTAAATATGAATATAATGAGCCTTAATGAGAAACACCCAAAACTGCCAGCAACTCCCTGCTGACATACAAAGCTGGGACTGTATTTCAGTGAAAGGGACGTGTGTGACTGAGCCAGTTTGTGCCTGAAATGAACTGTGGAGTCACATCGAAGTAATACCCGGCCAAACTGTGTGCCGCGGCGCCATTACCACAAAACATGCGGCACTAGCAGGGTGAATTTAGCTGTGGAGTGTCGGGGATTGGAGATGGGCTCATGATGTTCAGAGGACTTATTTGTCATTCTTTAAAATCGTTTACTCTGCATATATAACTTGGCAACTGTACATGATAAACAGGATATGTGTGATTTTGTTCATAGATAATTTTAGAATTGAAGAGTATAGAGGTTGTTTTTTTTTATATCTCTCCTGAACTAAATTTATAAAATGGATATATATTCTTTGGCATCTGACAGTGTTGACAAAACAAATCTGAAATCTTGCTACAGACGGAGGTTGCTTAAAAACATGGCTTGATAGCCAAAATCCAGATTTCCAAAATTATAAGATATATTCAGCATTTGAAAATTTTGAAGCGGACGTATTATTATGCTTCATGTTCATTTTCATATTCCTGTATATAATGTGACATTTTCATATGTACATATAAACTGTAGATAATGTTTCAGGTAAACATGTAAAAATAATCCATGTGAGTGAAAAACAAAAAGGCCTCAAGATGTTCATCCGAACAGAATAAGGAGGCATTTCAAGGAGAGCTGAGCTAATAGTGCTTAATTTAGTCAGACTAGTTCAGTGGCTGTTCTAAATCTTAAATGTTTGGAATGGGCTGTTTGTTTGGCCTGTGATAATTGCAGGTTTCTGCACAAGGAGGTGTTCAAGTGTTTATTTAAAGGTTGGTGAAGCTCGATTCAGTACACAGAACCCCTAAGTGGAGAACCTGTTGTCATAACCGTTGTCTAGAACACGCTTCTGACCACGATCAACAACGTCCTGAGCGCTGGTCGTCTGTTTATTCAAAGTTTTTTTAATTGAACATGTCTAAATCGCACCAAATTTGACATTGTGCTTCTTTGGGCCCTGAACAATACATATGCCAAGTGTGAAGCCAATAAGATGAACGGTTCTTGAGATATAAGTTCCACATACAGAGAGACAGAGATATCAGGAATTATCAGTTGAACAACTGAAGGTCCGCATAACAGAAAGTTTGATATATATATCTATATATAGATATATATATAACTTCTTTAAAACCGCGAATAAAGGTCAAATCTACTCTGAGCTGGAAATGAACAGGTTCCCTTTGTTCCAGTTCTCAAGAATCAGTGATTTGAATAAGTTGCATGTTTTTCTGCCTCGTCTGTCAGGCCTGTTGAAGGAAGTGGTGAGCATCATCTGGAGTATTACCAGTAATGTTTACATAGAATTAGAGGATGAAAGTTATTTGTGTCACTTGGACAGTGTTCAGTTACTTATTTTATTCTGGCAACATCTTAGACCAACACAGTGAGTGTTTCTCTTTCTGCCTCTCTTTCAGCCTCTCTCTCTCTCTCTCTCTCTCTGTGTGTGTGTGTTTTTGACTTGATTTTGGCAAACCCGAGGGATGACAAGGCGGCCAAAATCTCAGTCACTTGGCTACTGCATGAACTGTTTGATTAAGGCCACTGATTAAAGATCAGTCAGTTCCAGTAGCTGAAGTGATCAGCCAGGACAGTTATCTTAACTGCACTGAGCACGAGGCTGAAGACTTGAGGCAGGTTCCCTCCTGTGTCTGCTCCAGAGAAGCTGACTCCTAAGAAGCATGCAACAGGAAGCAGTGGAGAAAAAGCTGCTGTTTCAAAATTTGCTTTTGTAGTTGAATAAAATTACATTATCGATCACATTTAAGCAACAATGTTTGCACAACATGAAAACATTTACTTAGCTACATTTTTCACGTATCTGTCCTTAAGTAGATTTAAATTTCAGGTACTTTTAACTTTTACTCCACTACATATATCAGCAAATGTATTTTCCACTTATTTTTTTTTCTGAAGTTATCAGTTACCAACACAAAGCCATAGTGATTTTGTAAACTGAATACACAACTTTAAGTATGTCTATAGTATATACAGTATATATATTTTAAAGCAAGTACTTTCTTTTGAAAAGTAGAAAGTTAATGTGGAAGTTTAACTTTTAGTTGAGAACATTTTTCTTTATTTATTTGCACTCTTGACTACTTTGCATATAGCCATTTCATACAATGATATGACTTTGCGTGATCTCCAGTGCGGCCTCTTCTAATTAAACTTTTAATTGAACAGAACAAAGCGGCTCAAGCTCAAAAGTGGTATAAAACAGAGAAAGACGTGAATGGGGATACACTGAAGCCCCTGTGTTTACAACCAGTTGATTCCTCTCCTTTACTTTCACGTCCAAACAAAGAAAGTGAGACAGTGCAGCACCGTCATGTACAGTAGTTAATTCATGAACAGGCCTCATCCAGTGTGGTCTATAGATAACCATCTTACACTGTACCAGCCAGGGCAGCTCCAAAGATATTTCTTTTTGTAAACATACGAAATCCTCCGCACCATGCTGCCCGACACAGGGTGCAGAGGACTGGCGAAAACAAAAGATAACAAAATGGGAAAGGCACAGATAGGAAACAAAAGAAAGTGAGTGAATGAATGAGTCAGTACTAAGGAAGTTGCAGAGAAAGGAGAGAAAAAAGTGAGAGAGCCAACATAAGAGAGCAAGTAAGAAATCATCCCTGCTAAGTGGAATTGCTGGTCACGTAACAATCCCTACATCCCTTAACCAAAATGCACACTCGCACCCACTCAACACTCATACCACACACAGAGCATAGGGAGTCAGCCCGTGGTGATGTCAAAATGCAGCGCCTTGCATGCAGCGAGTAGTAACTGCAGGATCAACAGACACAGAGAGAGAGAGAAAGTCAGACAAGCAGACATGGAGGGAAGGTGATATCCTGAGTAGCCTGTTCACAGGGCCACCCAGCACCAGCAGTGTCTGCACCTTCTCATTCAAACACACACACAGACACGACAACGGCTCTTCCCACAAGAGCTGCTCTCTTCCATATATTGAACAGCCTTTGAACAGTTTTTTTCCCCAAAGAGAAAATAACTGCAAAATGGTTTAACCCAATTAAGACCTGTTAATCTGAACCTTTGTTCTTGTAGCTCTACCCTCACACTCAGTAAAATATGACTTAATTCATTAACAGCATTGATCTTTAGTCTATAAAACTGTTAAGCTCCATTAGCTAAATTGCATTTCTGTGCAGACGTGTAAAGTTACAGTAACAAGGGATCTGTGACCCACGGAGGATTGCCGTGCTGTGAGACCCGTTGGGACCATTTAGATCCCTTCAGTGAGATTACTTTTGTGTGGGGTCAAAGGACAAATAGGAGACAACACGAGAGCCAGTGCATTAGCAGAGAGGACAGCATGAGGACGAACAGACGTCACCTGATTTTACATCCAGCGGCAAACACGCAAGTCATAAAACTGACTGAAACGGAGATTAGAAATTATTGAAACAGTGTCAGAAGAATACCAAGGAACAGCTGTGTCATTATGCTTTAAAATGTTTTAAAATGTCAATATAAGATGCAATGTAATCTAATTTCTAATTTCCAAGGGAATCATTTATTGATCTTGATGAATCAATCTGGCATATTTATGGCACTGGTATTTATTGTTATATATATATATATATTAATGATAATATTACAGATTCTTCATCCCTTGGAGTTGCACATCCTTTACCCCTTTTTCTTTTCAACACTAAGTTTCAAAACTGTCAATGAAATCTTCCTCTGATGCAGTTACAAGTTTCTTAATTCCTCCCTCAGCATTTCAGGGCACATCAGACACAGTGCTGGGTTTGAGTGTACGGCCCCTAAAAAGGGAGGGAAGGAAGAAAAAGCAGGAAGAGTTGATGCGAGGGAAGGTGAGGCGGAGTGTTCACGGCCCCCGGAGCTCTGTAAAGGCTTGTTTGTACAGTGTGAGGAAAATATGTAAACATGTCACTTTTCATTAGGGCCCCATTCCTCCCGGCAGGCAGAGAAAGTGATGTCTCTATACCACCCTTTTGTAAATCCTCCCCATCAGCAGCATGTAATTAGTGATTGTGGGGTTTGTCTTTGGCTAATGCTCCAAAACCATAGGAACAACAAATGAGAGCGAGAAGAGACAGAGGAAAAGAGAGGAGGAGAATGACAGACATGAGTTTTGACTGAACGTTCACACCTAGTTTGAGGAAAAGAAATAAAGGCGTGCACATCAGGGAAAAGCTGACAATGAGCCTGATCTTACTGTGTCTCATAAAATACCTCCCTCCATCTTTACATGTGGTCCTTATTTAATCAACCTCCTCTCTCATATGTCCCACCCTGCCCTCTTTGACTCATCCCTCTCTCTCTGCCTCTCCCTCTCTCTCTCTGTGTCTCTCTCTCGTCTCCCTCCCGGGAGGCTGGGTCTCCTGACCCCGTGTGAAAGTCAGCAACACACATTCCACCACAGTCCACCCTGCTCTGGGAAAGTCAGGCCTTGCTACGTGAGAGATGGAGAGAGAGAGCAAGGGAGGGACGGAGAGAGAGAGGAAAGGAAATTAAAAGATAGACAAGAGAAAAGGCAGAAAGAAAAAGACAAATACTGCTGTTGGTTGATAGAATGAAAGAAATATTTGCAGTGAGCAGGAAAAAAGGTTCTGATTGTTCAGGAGAAGTTTAAGGTGAAGAGTGCGGGTGCATTCTACCTGTTAAAGCTATGATGCTCACAGTGTCTGGTGAGACAGACTCATGTAGAATTACATGTTTAACTAAAATGTGTTGATTACCTACTACTTAGCCTCCTCCCCTTCTCACCATCCTGTAATCCCCAGGATTCTTCTGCATATTTCTCAAGGATGTAAAACGTCTCAGACTGATGAGTCAACTGTTATATTTGGGTCCTAAATCCTGAGTGGATTCAGTCAAACTGCTTTTAAGGGATTTCTGCAGCGTCAGGAGGCTTCAATTGGAGACTTCAAACTTGACCAACACGTTTTTTATGGTCGGATAATGTGATGTGTATGTGAGATATATTCGGTTCAGTTTAAAAATATTTGGAGAGGGACACATTTTTGTTGTCTGATCCAGTTTAAATTTAACAGTGCTAACCTGCAGCTTTCCTGAGAGTTGCATCAATGTGCAACAGCTGTGTGTCTGTGCTGAGCTCTGCTTCAACTCCCTGCAGGGACAGTGGGTGTGTAAACGATTTTTGGCTGTCATGGTTACAAAACCAGGGGCATAGATGCTAATAGGAGTGCTCTTGCCGACTGTCCACGGCATGCTGACAAAGAGGATGTAACAAGTAAGGTTTGGCATTACTATGCTTCCAAAGTAGGAAGTCGGCCCACGGACCCCAACAAAGCAACTCGCCAAAAGACATGCCAACTGAGACAGATTTGTGAATGGGACAAAAAAACATAAATCCATAACGCTCAAGCCCTTAAATGTAAGTCCAACGAGTGTGATTTGTTTTGAAACAAGCAAACTTTGTTCATATGGCAAATAAGGGAAACAATAACCATTTAATTTTTACATCAAGATCATTACATTATTTCCAGAGAAATGTATGAAAATATTGGAAAAACTGCACTTGATGCTACGGAATGTGATTTAAAAAAGTCAAAGATCTGCCCCTTCCACCAGATCATTTCAGTATTGATTTGATTGTTAGAATTATTTGCAGTAATAGATAGAAAGAGCCACGGGTGCTGCACAGTTCGCTGAACCTTTACATCTTTAAATGAGAACTTTAGGCCTGTGGGCTGCAATGTATATATTTGAAGAGAGCATGAAAGTATGAAAGAAAGAGGGATGGAGAGGAGTAGTTTTGTGCTGGAGGTGCACACAGGTGAACAAAGCCAAAACAGGGATAATGACGATGCATCACACAGCACCCTTGATAAAATCCTCCTGCTTTCGCTGCACCTAATGACAGCAAAGAAACCAATGCTCCACTCACAAGGACTCTTGATAGACACAGAATGAGTAGGACAGACATAGTAACTGACAGAATATGGTGACGACTTCAAAAAGACAGACTAACCTTCAAGTAAATCTGAGCGTTAGAGGGGAAAGTATAGGAGGCAAGGACAAAAAGATGCACCCCCATCCCCAGAACCCTCTTAACTTGACCCTGACAAAAGCTATGTTAGTATGGAGTTAATCAAAAGTGTGGTAGGATGACAGGCGGGGGGGGGGCCTTCATGAAGCTGCACCAGGGGGCCCAGGTTCACAAAGCCTGTAGTGTGAGGGGGGCTATTCTTCTGCACAGTATTTGCGGTTGAGGGCCAGGAGGGGGGGGAATACCAGTGAGCAGTCTGTCTGCTGGTGGCAATAAATGAGGATCAGTTCCGATCTCAGCAAAGACCCCACCAACGTCTCTGCGCGATGACATGCACATCAACCCTAGTGCCTACCTCATGACTCATGCATGGTCCCACCATGCATGAGTGGGCCACGGGACATTTTACAGTGAAGGAAAATCTCTACACATAATGTCACAAAATTCACTTTTATAATATAAATACATTCAATCATAAAAACGTCTGTATTGGCTGTGATGGTTAGTGAGAGATGGACATGCAGCTTGCAAGTGACTGAACGTAGCATTTGACAAGTTCACATTAAAGTTACACAATGTAAAAATCATATTTAATGGTTTATTAGTGCTGACATCAGCAACAACTTTTGTACCAAACTTTTTATCGACTTTTCAGTTGTTTGTTCCAACTTCAGATGGCGTTCATGTGAATTTTCCCAATTATTCCAATACAATACGAAAGAACACACACACACACACACACACACACA